ATTGGTGCAGCCAATATGGAAAGCAGTATGGAGATTTCTTAGAAAACTAGCCAATCCCTAAAAAACAAATGCCAAATGTCTTCTTTGATATAAGGAGAGTAACCAAGAACAGAGTAGGGACGAAGAGCAGGAGAAGAAGATTAACATTAAACAGGGATGAGAGGTGGGAGGGAAAGGGAGGGAGAAGGGAAATTGCATGGAAATGGAAGGAGACCCTCAGGGTTATACAAAAGTACATACAAGAGGAAGTGAGGGGAAAGGGAAAAATAATACAAGGGGGAGAAATGAATGACAGTAGAGGGGGTAGAGAGAGAAGAGGGGAGGGGAGGGGGGATAGTAGAGGATAGGAAAGGCAGCAGAACACAACAGACACTAGTATGGCAATATGTAAATCAATGGATGTGTAACTGATGTGATTCTGCAATCTGTATATGGGGTAAAAATGGGAGTTCATAACCCACTTGAATCAAAGTGTGAAATATGATATATCAAGAAACATGTAATGTTTTGAACAACCAACAATAAAAAAATTAAAATAAAATTTAAAAAAAGAGAAAATTGGGAATGGAACCACCATTTGACCCAGCTATCCATCTCCTCAGTCTGTACCCAAAGGACTTAAAAACAGCATACTACATGGACACAGCCACATCAATGTTTATAGCAGCACAATTCACAATAGCTAAACTGTGGAGCCAACCTAAATGTCCTTCAGTGGATGGATGGATAAAAAATGTGGCATATATACACAATGGAATTTTACTCAGCAATAAAAGAGAAAAAAATCATGGCATTTGCAGGTAAATGGATGGTGTTGGAGAAGATAATGCTAAGTGGTTATCCAATCCCAAAAACCCAAATGCTGAATGTTTTCTTGATATAAGGATCCTGATTCATAGTGGGATAGGGAGCGGGAGCATGGGAGGAATAGATGAACTCTAGATAGGGCAGAAGAGTGGGAGGGGAAGGGATGGGGCATGGGGTAATTAATGATGGTTGAGTGTGATGTTCATTATTATCCAAAGTACATGTATGAGGACACGAATTGGTGTGAATATACTATGTATACAACCAGAGATATGAAAAATTGTGCTGTATGTGTATAATAAGAATTGTAATACATTCTGCTATTATATATAAATTTAAAAATGAAAAAATAAATAAATTTTTAAAAATGATCTCTTTAAGCCATATTTTGGTTCATGGTATAAAACACAGTGGTAATAATTATAGCAGCAGTTGTGTTTCCCAATGCCAGGCACTGAGTTTTACCCAAATTAGTCCTTGCACCAGCCTTGGTAATTGATCAGATAGTGTGGCTTGGTGGAAGAGCCCATGCCCATGATTACTTTGTTTCTCTGCCTCCTTTTGCTATAGAAGGCAATTGATCATTCCCTAAATTTATTGTTCACTATTCTTGGAATAAAGAATATTCTGGTCACTATCTCATAGGAATTAAGAGCCAGGAACCTCTTTTTCAGGGTAATGAACATGGATTGCTTCTCAGTATGCAACATCTATGCCTTCTTCCAAGTAGGATAGTTACCATCTTGATTTTTGCAAGCTACTCTTCCTTCATTGCAGATATTAGTAGAAGGAATTGTGTCTTCAGTTTTTACCAGATTACCCATTAATCATTCTCTTATTTATAAAGATAGTAAGATCAAGAAATTGAAAGGTACCATGCCCATTACTTTTAAGAGAGGGAAAGCACTCTGCTCTCAGGGGAGAAACCATGATGAATAAGAATATTTGTTTTGACTCAAAACTACTGTACTCTCTGCATCCAGCACTGTTGGTCTGGTATATTGTAAGACCTTAGAAAGTATCTGTGATATGGGTGGATGTGCATATGTGTAGGAAATTGACTGGAAAAGTAATCTAAGAGGATCATAATGCTAAGACAGATTTTGTGTAGATGTTAGACAGGCCCATAATTGTGTGTGGTACACTATGACAGAGCACATACAGTCAATTCCAACCCTACTGACTTGAATGCCATCTAGAGTTTTTGTAAGTTGTTGTGTCTAAAACATCTATTTTGATTTTGATTGAATCATTTGTTCACTTCTTTGTTTCTGAATTATATTATTTAGACTACTCCATATGCAGTTGGCCCTCCATATTTGCAGGTTTCATGGCTGTGGATTCCTTATTCATGGATTCAGCCATCTATGGTTGGAAAACCTTTTTTAAATCACAAATTGACTTTTTTCTTGTCATTATTCCATAAACAATACAATATAATGTCTGTTTAGCTAGCTTTTACACTATATTAGCTAGTATATGTAATATAGTAACGTTTTTTGTATACAGGTTTATCGTGTTAGGTTATATGCAAATACTGTTGTTGTGCCATTTTACACAAAGCACCTGAGTATCCTCAGATTTTGGTATTCATGCGAAGATCCTGGAACCAATCTCTCATGAATAACAAGGGACAACTATAAATTTGGGGACCACCAGTGGTTAACAAATATGTGTGAAAAGTTGTCCTTTTGTTTAGAAAAATTTAAATGGCATGCAATACAGATTTGGAAAACGTTTTAAAAGATCGATTTTATAATTTGTTTCCTAATACAAATATTAGTTTCAATTTAATGATCTTTACACTTGTGTTCACAATCATATAAAAGTATTTTAAATATGTAAGATCATACCTGCAAAATTGTCTTTATAATATAAATTGCTTTCTATGAGAAGCAGGGTAGAAAGGATGTGCTGTAGCTCTTTTTTGCTCTCCATGGACACTATTGCCTTTACTTGTGTTAGAACTCAAAAGCTTGAAATTGTTTCAGAGATATTAAATTAAGTATTAAAAGGTAATAGAATGAAGTCTTTCTTTGTTCTAAGAATGCAGGATCTCAGTGGTAGAAAAATAAAACTCTTACATATTTAAGTGCATTAACTTCAATAATCAGATTCAACAGCATACCATTAAGCTGTAAACTATTGGGGTTAGAGTCAATAATAGTCTACCAATCTCATCAAACTGTGAGGGTTTATGTATGAGGAGGGGTGTCATTTAGTACACCCCACTTCCTTCTTAAAAACTCCAGGTTTTCTTTTAAAAGATAATGTAAATCACTCTTTAATGATACATGTTATATATTATATGTATTACACAACCCTTGCATAAAGATAATGGAAGTTATCCTGAGTTTTTTCTTTCTTTTTTTGGTACCAGGGATTGAATTCAGGGGCACTTGACAACTGAACCACATTTCCAGCCATTTTTTATGTTTTATTTAGAGATAGGATCAAACTGAGTTGCTTAGCACCTCACTCTTGCTGAGGCTGGCTTTGAACTCACAGTCCTCCTTCCTCAGCCTCTTGAGCTGCTGGGATTATAGGTGTGTGGCACCATGCCCAGCCCTGAACTTAATTCTTAATCATGATTGTCAGGCTTGGAATGTGGCTCAAGCAGTAACACACTCACCTGTCATGCGCGGGGTGCTGGGTTTGACCTCAGCACCACATACAAATAAAATAAAGATATTGTATCCATCAAAAACTGAAAAATAAATATTAAAACATCCTCTCTCTCTCTCTCTCTCCTCTCTCTCTTTTTAAAAAAAATCATAGTAGTCATTTTAGCCTAGGCTATTAGTATGTTTGCTTCTACCTTCCTCATGTAGGTTTGATTTTCCATTTTTATTTTACTATCTTACTGCAATTTGTTTAATCTTTTCAGGTATTTTCCCTATAAGCAGGGTTCAGATTATAAATACATTAAATCTCATTTTAGACTGACTTTATTATATTTATTTACTTACTTATTTACTTGGTTACAAGGCTGGGGATTGAACCCAGGGACTTTCACTTGGTAGGTAAGTGCTCTACCACTGACTTCCCAGACTGCCTTTATTTTAAATGGTGGGAGTTGTATGTACAGAAACTGCCTACAAATTAATTTTGTTAGCATATTCTAAAAATAGTTCATAATCTAATTAGAAAGAGAAATGTTTCTCTTTTCAAAGTCCCATGGAATACTTTTTCCAGACTCGAAAACTTATAACCCTTGTTTTGGAGTCAGGTGGTCACAGAGCATCTCTGAAACCCTGATCAGAGGAATAAATCTTCACCTCACTAAAAAAATCTCTCAATCTCTCTCTCTCTCTCTCTCTCTCTCTCTCTCTCTCTCTCTCTCTCTCTCTCTCTCTCTCTCTCTCTCTCATCTAGTGTCTTAAGAAATTTAAGAGATCCACAAACCTCTAACTCCACTGAACTTCAGGTTTAGGACTATTATCCTAGAATTGTGAGAAAGAAGCTAACATCAATTGAACATAAATTATGTACCATGTTTGAAATCAAGTTCTGGCTGTGTCCAGAGTTATGTCCTCTACCATACAACCAACCAATAATTACCATTACTTCTTCCAGTCCTAAATTATATTTTATCTTCTAAATATTGTTGTCTTGAGTAGTAATGCTCCTTGGTTAAACTTCACATTAATATGATATTAGTGCTAATTCAGGCCTTTACCAATGTCAGTATTAATTAAATTGAAAATAAGATAAACTCAACCAAAATATACATATCTTTAAGAGATAATTTTTATGTGTTGATTTTGAATTCCAAATCTACTTGAGCCCTGAATAATTTTTTTCATCCTAATGAAAGTAATACATGACTGATCCTTAAGCATACTAGTAGGATGGGGGAGAAAGAAAAAATTAAACACGACAAATTAAACATATAAAAAAGCCATCCTTAATGAATTCAGGCACTTTTTTTATAAATGTGATACTGATTAGAACCTTTTTATCATCACAAGTGGAACTACTTGATGACTGGAATTTGTCAGCCTTAAAGTCCCTAGCCTCATTTATTTATTCAAAGGTGAACACAGTTAGATGATGCTGGATGAAGGCATGTCCCTGCTGGGGCAGTCTGAACCTCTGTCTACAACATCATGAGAGATATAGGTTCCCAGGCATATAAAGAAAGATGAGTACTATAGACATAGAATGATAAGTATGGTCTTTTTCTTTACTAGGCATTTGGGCCTGGACCTGGTACCTCGGAAGGACTTTGAAGTTGTGGATTCAGACCAGATTAGTGTCTCAGATCTTTACAAGATGGTAAGAAATCTAAAATGGGATGGCTTGTTCCTGTATACCTCTTTTTTCTCCTTTATTTTCCCTGATTATTCTGTAAAACAATATTTCTAAACACTTTCCTTATTCTGACTGTACATATCCTTCTTGGTTTACAAATGGGAATACTATGTAGAGATGCTGGGCTTACTATACTATCTAGGGGTCACTTCTCTGTTGATTTTGCTCTTTGTTTTCTTTCAGCCTGCACTAGTTACTAACATTATGCTTCCTTTTCCCTTCTCAGGAATAAAGGTGGTTGAAACTGGAAAGAGCCAGTTATTAGTTAATGTGGTGATTTTTGAACCTGGAAATAATGTACCAATCTTTCCACAGGCAGAGACTGATAGATGCTTAGATGTCCAATAAAGATCTGTTGGGTTGAATGATGATCATGATTCAATTTGGTAGGCTGGATAAAAAGTAACTAAAAGAGAGATAGAACATTTAAAAGTGAAACAAATAGCAGAAATGTAAAGTGACAGTTAAGCTTAGATTAAGGGCCTGGGTATAACCTCACATTTTGAGTAGTATATTCAGTGAGTATATATTGATGATAATTAGAAGTTTTAGGATCTCTTTAAGAAATATAATGTTTTAGTGAACATAGATGATACCAAGTATTATGCCTGGTCAAGGACAAAAGGAAATTTGCCTAAATAATATACAAGTAACATATTTATTGCTTCTATATATTTACTTCTGTATATTTATTAACATGTACAAGCATTTGCTTTAACTGCTCTCTGCAACATAATAGGAGTGCAATATAGAGATTAATGATGAACAAGATTTATCCCTTTCCTCAAGAATCTCATCATCTAGTGTTGGTTTCTAACCTTTTCTTTATCAGGAAGGATCAGATGATATTTTCTCCCATGATTATGCAAATATGAATTACATACAGTGTTTTACAATCAGTTATAGAGGAATTGATGGATAGATTTCCCAATGCTTGTTGCTGAAACCTGTTCATGGATTTCTCCCATTGAGAAACTGTACTCTAGTAGAATCAGTAGACCACAAACATGCATTTGCTGCATAGCGTAATTAAGATATACACTAATGCTATTAGAGATAGTGACTGATTTTCTAAGAGTATGAAAAAAGCAGGAAAAACACTTCAAAATGCCACAAAGCATAGGGAAATGGCAGTTCCAGGAAATATAATGATTTTTATAATTTTGGCATTAGATATTATAGTGAATGGGACATGAGGCAGTCCAACAAGGAAGCAAAAGCTTTGCATGTCCCAAATTAGACTTACTCCATTAGTCTGGCAGAACCGTGAGAGTAACATGATCAGATATGCATTCCTGATCATAAAATGGAAGCAAGGAGCAGTCATTAAAGCACAAAATCTTAATGTCAGTACTTTGGGCTAAAGCTGGCCTAGTCAAAGTAGTAAGAAGTTATTGGATTCTGAATATATTTTGAAGTTAGAACTAATCAGAATTGTTGATAGATTGTATTGATATACATGTATAGAATTAAGAGAAAGGTCATAGAAGAGTGATTGCTGAGTTTCTGGTCTGCCCAACTAGATAATAGCGAATTATTTGAAACAATGTAGAAGAAGCAGGTTGGGAGTTGAGCAGTGGGAACAATAGTTCTAGATATATCTTTTTTCAAGTTCAAGATGCCTTTTAGTCATTCAAAAGCATGAATGAAAGTCTGTAGTTCCTGAGATAACTTTGACAGTTTTAGAGTCATCAGATTATATATATATATATATATATATTTGAAGTGATAGGACTGGATAAAATGATCACTCATCTCCTTAAAGTTCTTTATACTGAAACCCATTGATCAAAGACCCCACACAGCACTTCTAGATAGCTAATCATCAACAAACAAAAACCTAAGTGAAAGTTAGCGACCCCAGCAAATATCTGAAAGCATCTTGGAAGAAGCAGGCAGAAGAAATCAGTGATTGCTGTCTCTAGAGAAAAAGGAGGAAACAATGCAACAATGAAGCAGCTCCAGAAATTTAAAAATTAGATAACTGGAGTAATGTGGTATTAAGGTTAGAAGATAAAGAAAATCTTCCTGAAAACAGAACCACAACAAAATTAACAATAGGAGAAAAAATTTTAAAAAACTAGAGATACTATCTAGGACATCCAGTACATAAATAACAGTTTCAGAAAAAATAACAAAGATACAAAGAAAGAGAAAATTATGGAAGAAATCACATTAAAAATATTTCCAGAACATATATTTGAGTCTCCAGATTCAGAGACCAATAGTATTTGGCATTTGATTCTAAATTTTCAGCTCACTAGAAATGGAGAGAGGAGTTAAAAGCTTCTAGAGTCATATACAAATGACTTGTTGAAAGGATAACACTTGGGGCTTCCTAATAGCAACATTAAAAACTGGAAAATATTAAAGCATTGTATGCAAAATTCTGAGGGGAAAATTCAACCTAGTATTCTATATTTACTTAATTACATTATTAATCAAGTAGGAGAGTAGCCTAAAGAGAATTTCGTCATTCAGAGTTTCAAAACACCAACTACTTTTAACCCCTTTTCAGGAAAGTATTAAAGAATAAATTATTCCTTTAGAATGAAGGAGGAAAATACTAAAGAATAAATTATTCCTTTAGAATGAAAGAATAAATCAAAAAACTACTATATGTGTACCCTCAATGTTAGGGAATCTGATCCAGATGATGGGTACAAAGAATTCTGAGGTAAGCAGCAGAGGGAAGTCCTAGGATGACAATTGTGTAATAGAGAATAACTACTGAGAATTGGTCCAGATTAAAGCAGAAAGGCAGAAGACAGCTAGGAAGAGTATCTCCAGGAGAACAACTTGGCTTCACAGATTATCTGACAATTTTCGCCATGTGCAAGATGCTGTCCCTAGACTTTTAGAATAATGGGGACATAGAAAAAGGGCCTTCTTATCTGCAGGTTCCATGGTTGCAGATTCATTCAACCTTGACTCAAAAATACTTTGGAGAAAAATTATGTCTGTACTAACCATGTACAGACTATTTTTTCTTATCATCATTAATAATAATTTCTAAATAATAGTATATCACTATTTATATAACTTTTAAATTGTATGAAATGTTTTAAGTAATAAGAGATGACAAAATATACAGAAGGATATTTGTAGGTTATATGCAAATAAAAGTTTATAAAAGGGACTTGAGTATCCATGGATTTTGATACCTGGGGGGGATCCTGGAGCCAATTCTGTGTGGATAATAAGAGATGACTATAATTTAAAACAAATAAGTATATCCAAGATGAAAATGGCAGAAGAAAAGAAATGTAATTGTACCACATGACTTTTCTCAGCAGAGAAAAATATTTAAGTTATAATAATATAAGTAATAGTTTAAGAGTTTTGAGATATTAAGAACAAAGGTGAAGGGAAGGGGATATGCGCAAGAGTTAAAATCCTCAACTTCCATTATAAAAACCAATGTGTAATTCTAAAACTGGATAAAGAGAGATTGATATAAATATAACATTTAGAAAAATTTGATAAATTCTAGGAAAAAACAGTAAAGAGTTGAAAATACTTATCTCAAGGGAACAAGACAGGGTAAGCAGAGAACTGATAATTTTTATTGCAAGCCTTTAGGGTATTTAACTTTTTAAAATATGTGCTTTACTTTATTAAATTGACATTTTAATAAAATATGTTCATTTATCAAAAAAGCCTAAAATCTAAACTAGATTGGAAGTTCTTCCAAAATGTGACACCTCCACAGTCTGCGATGATATTTGTTATTGTCAATGGGATGTTTTATACTAAAGTTAGCTGTTTTGTAAATTTCTGTAGATAGTATTAACTGAAAACTTACAACTAGTAAGTTCTGTAGTCATTTTAAGAGTTAGTCTAATAAATATACTTAAGAAGAATGACTTAATGCAATCCCTTAATTTAAAATAAAACAAAATTTATTTTAGTCTGATAACATTCCAGTAGGATCTAGTCAGTAAACCATAGAAAACCCAATTTGTATTTTGAAAGCCTGATTTTGTTTTGTTGTTTTAAGTTTGTCTTTCCCGATGCTTGTGATAAAGCCTAAGGCCTCATACTTGCTAAACAAGTCTCTACCACTGAGCTGTACACCCAGCCCTAATTTTTTTTGTCAATTTCATGTATGTTTTCTTTTGTGTATATACATTCTATGTAATAGTTTACCCAGATGTTATACATTTGACTTTATTAAATTAAATATGTATCATGGGAAAATATAGTCCTATGAATGAACATCAGTACTCCTTAATAACTTGCTAATAATGCACATAGATATTTAATAATTAGTAAATATAGCTAGTGGGTCACACTTAAATTAGTATTTAATTTTACTTTCGTTTTATTGAATGTTAAAGGTATGTATTGAGAAATTAAATGAAGGCATTCTTACAACCACTCTTCTTACCATATGATGTGAAACTGTGTGCTGCCCCACATCTATAGGGTCCAAATGGCAGCCAAATAGTAACTCTCATTGTTGAGTTTTCCAATACGGGGCAATAAATATTTGTGAACTCACCATTCTTCTTGGCCAGGTTTTACTTCCAAATATGAATGGCTTTTCTATAATAACTAGTTTTTAAAAAGAAAGCCAATTATAGTAATAATAAGAATACCAGTTATAGAGAATAATTATCATTCACTTACATTCTGGGTTAATCTGCAGAAACCCCTATGAGACTGAGTTAGGCACAAAATTGTATCCTCAGTTTATACATGAGAAAATATACAGCCATTAAATGTGACTCATGATTCAAAACTGGTTTCTTGACTTCTGTACTTAGGTCCCTAACTGCTATATTATACTGATTTCCATTACGTAATTTGAACCTCACAACAATATTTTGAGGAAGAAAAGACCAGTTCTTATCTGTTTTACAGTAGAAAAAATACCTCTAGGATAGAGTTAATGATTTGTTTAAAGTTTCACAGCCTATGAATGGCATAGCTGGAATTGGAATCTGCTTCTTTTAACTTCAGCCAATAGCAATGGAACAGCATGGAACAGCATGAAGAAATCTTAGGGGAGGATCCCTTTTTTTAAAAGGGCTTCAGTGTGGAAAGTCTGAAGAAGCCTAATCAGGCAGTTCAGAAAATGGTAAAGTGTGGGAAGACATTGCCAAAGAAAAGATCTAGTAGCGAGCACCCATCTGTGACTTGGTTGGTATTCAGTGATAGAGAACCTAGGGTTTGAATGCAGATTTTTCCAGCTTCTTGTGTGACCTTCAGCAAATAACTTCCCTGCTCTTAAACTTTCATTGTCTCCATCGAATATGAATAATTATTATCTAACAAAGTTATCAGAATTAAATGATATCATGAAGATAAAATGCATAGTAGACTGCCTAGCATATAGAAGGTACTTAATAAAAGTTAGTTTCTTTCCTAACAGTGTAAATCTTTCTTTTTTCTTTCTTTCCATAGCATTTGTCTAGTAGGCAGAGTGTACAGCAGAGCACATCCCAGGTAAGCAGCTTACCCAGACCTCCCAGTCTTTTGCCTCAACTTTCTTTTAAGAGATCACAGCATATGAAAGCACCAAGATATGATAGATACCACTGACTTCTTGAATGTGTGGTAACTTTATTCTAAGCAGCCTTTACCTCCTAGCAGATTTTACCAGTCTCCATTCCTCTGTGCAAATTTATATAAGCACAATTAAAAGAAAGTAGACTCAGACTAAAATGAATTCACTTAGGAGAAAATAAAAATGTTATGAAGAAAGGTAAATATTTACACCTTGCCCTCTTCTGGCCAAATCCAAAGAGCAAGTGTTGAGGGGAAAAATTAATGACCAATGCTTTTGCCTATTTTAATTATGAGGTATCTTGTACTTTTAAAATGAACTGATATTTGGGTCAGGGCTGTGTTATTCTGGTTGTGTCTTACTTTGCCATTGTCATGTAAATATCATGAAAAATAAAATGTAAAATGAATTGCACTTAACTATTCAAAAAACAAATATTTATACCTAACAGTGTAAATCAAGTACATTAGGACAGCATCTCTAAAAAATGATGTTAAAAATTGTTCCATGGAAAATTTAGATTTGTGACCTAGTAGAGATTTGAGTTCACTTGTAATTTGGAATTCTGTTCTCTTATCTCCTTCACTCTCTCCCAGCTGCTTGCTTGCCCATCTCAATCCAAGTCTATTGACATAGCATCCCTTACTGGCAGAGAAAACATCTTCAGTCTCTCTTAAATACTTCCCTTCAGTAGTGTAATAAGACTTAGTAATTTAATTTTTAATTTTTAATAATCAATATAGTGAATAAGATAGAAATCATTGCTCTTTTACCGTCCTCATTAGGTAGATACAATGCGCCCTCGTCATGGGGAAACCTGTCGGATGCCAGTACCACATCACTTCTTCTTCAGTCTAAAGAGTTTCACCTATAATACCATTGGGGAAGATACTGATGTCTTCTTTTCCTTATATGACATGAGAGAAGGCAAGCAGATCAGGTAAGAGTTACTGGAAGTTTTGGTGAGGCTGAGGCTCTGTATTAGGATGGCTTGGGTCTTAGGCATCTCTGACATTCTAAGAAGATAGAAGCACAGAGGAGGCAAAGCAAGATGAACTAGCTTTGTCTTCTTGTCTGGAAATTTTACTTCAATCCCCAATGTCCCTTGAAGTCATCTAAACTATATCGTATGTGGCTTCTTTTTTTCCCCTCTGCTTATTTCCATATAGAAGCTCAAAATTGAATCTTGAGTTTTACCACCTCAGGGAAGGAAATATATACAAGTGTTCAATTCAAGAGAAAGAGCAGAGGATAAACAAAGCAAGGCAACTGTAGCGAAGATGCCCAACCCTAGAGTACAGGAAGTCCTGAGCCCTGGCTTGATGCATGTGAGTGAGAGAGTTCACTGGGAAAGAGGCTGATAGTGTTCTGTCAGAAGGCAGTTCCAGCCTTTGATGCCATTCCAACACTGTGAAGGAAGAGTGCCTTCTGGGAAGAAGGGAAAGCTGGGCTGCTTTAGTTCTTTATGCCTTAGATTGAAGAAGAGGTACCAAAGGGCTGACGTGCAATGGAGTTTATATCATGGCAGAGCCCTGGAGCTATTAAACATGAAAACTTCAGCAGTGCTTTCTTCCTTGAAGGGTGGGGAGAATCAAGGAGACTCTTTAGGCTTCCCTTCTAGAGGCCACAGGGTGTGCTGTGAGCTCTGTAGCTAACATGAAATTTTTAGAGTTCAAACATTTCTCTATGGTTAGCTTCTAACTAGGGCAGAGAGAAAAATCTCAGATTATTTATATTGTTTGAGAACTTGTGATAAGAGTGCCTTATGTTTTTTTCTTTGTTTTTATTTTTCTTACTAAAATTCACTTTTCCAATTGTATGTTACACATGGGAAAATTTAAAATGGAAGTTGTAATAGTACAAAGAAAAACAATTTGTGTGCTCCAGGACACTGCTAATCCTAATGAAAAAAAAAAAACTAAAGCACTGTGTTTAATTTTGGCATTTGGAATAAAATTATACACTATTGATCAGGGCATTAATTTTCCTTGTCATCAATGGCTAATAGTATGTGCCCCTGGGAAAGATGTTATAGAGAAGATAGTGGGGTGCATACAGGCAAGACTACATACAAGAGCTGTAGATTCTGGCTACTCTTATTTTTCTACTAGACCAGAGGTTTATTATTTATTTGATTAATAATAAACTTTATTATTTATTTATAAAAGTGTAAGAATCCTTTCCTGCTCTTGTAAATTTTACAAGGAAGTCTAATATATGAGACAGAGGAAATAGATCTATTTTAGTGTTAAGGGAAGGGGTAAATAACAGAAATTTCACTAAGCCCCATCTCATCCAGTACCCTGTGGAACCACTGGAAGTCCATGGATTGCAGTTTGAAAACTGGAATATATTTCTTTGTCATATTTGAGCACAGAAACTCTGGCTTCTCTTTCCATAATCCCAGCATCTTGCACAGTGCCTTGTGCTCAGTACATGTTTTACCAGATGTACTTACTAGAGAAAATACAAATCAAGCACAGCCACCCCAGTATTCTGATTTGTAATTTGTCAGGGAAGTCATCAGTGGACCAACTATTTTATCTTTGAATTTATTATTTATAATTTAGCCTTAAAAACTATAAAGTATTTTAAAGAAATATAAAAATTTTTTTGTAGAGCTACTAGAAATGTTTAGATCATTTAAAAATTTCTTGATAGTCAGACTAGGGATGCAGCTCAGTGGCAGAGTACTTGCCTAGCATGTGTGAGAACCTAGATTTGATTGCCAATACTGTGAAAAATTAATTGATTTTTAAAAATTAAAAGAAAATAAAAATTTCTAGATATTGAAGAGAAGTATACCACTTTCCCACTGTAAAAGAAATTATAAAGTCCTTAATTGAATGTTCTTTATTTTTTTAGTTTTCTTAAACTTAATTTTAACAGTAAACTAATAAGAAACTTTTAGATCTAGATCTAAAATCAACAAATTGTCTTTCTTTCTTCTATTAGCATTTGGATAGCTGTATAAACCCTCAAAAATTCTAGATCATTGAACTACTATTAACAAAGAATTAGGGTTTTCTTATGGTTAGGTTATTAAATTAGTCATGTATTACTTTCTTGAAGCAGTTTATGAGAAATCATTAAAGGTCAGTGATATATCAGGTGTTCAGGGTATTGACACAGAATGTTTAATTATATCTTCTCATCAAGATGTTCTCTTGAGGAACTGGGGATGTAGCTTGGTGGTAGAGTGCTTGTCTAGCATGCATGAGGCACTGGGTTCAATTCTCAGCACCACATAAAAATGAATAAATAAAATAAAGATATTGTGTCCATCTAAACCAAAAAAAAATTTTTAAAAGAGGTTCTCTTGAGCATCTGTCTTTTTAACCAAATAGTGCTTGTCTAACCTCTAATTAAATGGTGCTACTCTAGTTTTCAGCATTTCTACTATACTTACCTGTGTGCCAAAGAGCACATACATGTGGGCAGAAAGAGCTAATTAAAGAGAAAAGCAGATATTCTTCCATTTTGTCTCATTGCTGATTTCATATGCAAACCTGGAAGGGCTAAAATGAAAGACACTGCAAAATTATACAGTACATCCTAGTATGGGTTAACTGATAAGTATTAGACAATCTGCAGAAGGGAATATGCAGCAGCTAGCAGGACTTTGGTTGCTTAAATAGCATTTTTGACATTTCGTCATTTAGAATAGAATCAAATATTTGGTCATAAAATCTAAATCTCAGAGACCTCTCCCCTGAGTTTCAGGCCCTCATTTCCTTTTCTCTACCAGACATGTGCCCTTGGATGTCCCTGTCCTGCAGGGTGCTTAGATCCTGGGGAAAAGGTTCAGGACTCTGGCAGTTGAAAGAAGATACAAGGTGCAGTTGGAATTGAAGACATGCTTTATTTGAAGGTGGCAATAGCTGCCTATCTTTGCAATAGGCCTTTATCATGTGTGAGCCAAAGAAGGCCTGATGCCATTGGATTATGTGAGTGCAGATGCACAAGCAAATATTTATAACCTTGAGTACATATGCTGAATTGGGGTGTTTATGACCTTGACTGTATATATACTAAAACATAGCAGGCCAGAAGTCTCAGCAAGGGAACTGAAATATAGCCATCTTGGGCTTGCCCCCACAGTCCCTCAGACATACTTATCTCAGTATATAAAAACTGAATTCATTTTCTTTGCTTCACACATAAACTTTTGCCCATGCTCCTTAAATCAGGTAAAAGGCATTATCATTTGCTTAGAGAGCATCTGAAACCTTGGAATTCTTGTAAGCTCCTTCTTTATCTCTTTCCCCTCTCTGTTAATCAGTGTCCTTTCAACTTCTGCTTCCTAAACATCAACCAAATCACTTCTCCTATTCCATTCTCATTGTTATCCAATATCCTTCATATTTCTACCCTAATATAGACTCCCTGAATCTACTTTCTTCACATCCTGAGTTATTCTTCACACCATGCTTCTCTTTTAAAAATGTAAACTGTTGGTGTTAGTTCCCATTTATGCTACAGAACTTGCTGTTTAACATTGTGTAGAAGGCCTGGCTTATGACTCTATCTAATTCTCCAACTTTAAAATAAATTCAATTTAACTTTGGTAATTTATTTGGCTTTCTCTAAACTTGTTTCCCTACCCTTCTTGTTTTGATGAACTTCTGTCTGTTCTTTAAAACTTAAATTTTTGAAAATTTCCTCAAAGTTTGTGAGTAGAATCAAGCCCTAGGAATTGACTTTGCCCATGTTTACTCTGTACCTAGCTTTATTTCATTAGTAGATATTACATTGTAATTGTGCACGTGCCTATAGATTTTCCCCCTTAGAATGGGACTTCCTTGTATATTTCTTGTGCTATTTTCCCCCCAGTGATAAGCATAAGACCTGAAAAAAATTTGTTGAGCAATTAAATTTAAATAAGCCTTTACTGACGGTATCTCATTGAGGGACCTTTCAATATCTGCTAGGTCTAGAGATTAAAAAGAAGTTCCCCTGTTTCTAAAGAGATCTAATAGGACATTACAGTGTTCCCAAAAGATGTGATACATGTTCCTGACTTTAAATAACAAACCAGCCAAGTGGAAAAGTCAGATAGAAAAATATCTTCTTGACATGTGGCAAGATTTTAAGTGCAATAAGAAATCAGGGAAGAAGAGAATTATTGAGGACAGAGAATCTAAAAAGGGGTTTGGAGAAGATGGAAGTAGCTAAACTAAAGAATGGCCAGGATATAGGATGTTAATTTATTTATTAAAAAAATATTTGTTAATATTTTCTACCACCTATTATGATAAGTGCTAGGTATACTAAGGAGAACAAGAGAGATACCTGTTTATCTGCCTGGAGCTCATGGTTAAACACATGATCACATAAATAAGTATATAATATGAAAATTATGATAAGTGCCATAAAGATAAATCTTGCATTATGTCATGAAGACCTTATATAGATTAAAGGAAAGCTCTTTGGGCATTCAAGCTAAGCCCTAAAGTGTGAGGAAGCAAAGAGGGAATAATGGGTTCTAAGCTAAAGGTCTAGAGGTAAGAGAAAACTTGTTAATCTCAGAGAACTGAGAGGAGGTCAGTATATCTAGAATATAGTGAGTGAGATGAGTGGGGATGTCATAAAGTGATCCAAGAGATAAGCAGAGGCCAGCTTATGCAAGGCCTCATAGACATTCAGCAGTTTTGGATTTTATTATAAATTTAAGAAGAGAAGATATTCAAGCATGAAAAGTAACAAAAGCAAAGTCACGAGTCAAACAGTAAGGACATAATGTATGTGTACAGAAAAATATGAGAGACTATTAGAGCTAGAAAAACCGTGTTGACAATAAAATCTAGGACTCTGAACTTATTTCTTGCCTATTTTTGACTGCTCTCCTCCTTGAATGTAGAAAGAGCTCAGTGTTTGGTCATAAAATAAAAGCTACAGCAGTCTGATACATCCAGGACTACAAATGCAGGAATTCTGGGT